CTAAGTAGTGACCAGGCTTAACCTTACATAACTTCAGTGATTTTAAAAGAACCAGTGTTTCAACATTATATGGCCGTAAGCCATGTGTGTGCGTGCGTGTGTGTGTACTTGTGTGTGTGTGTGTGTGCACGCATGTATGTTTGTGTGCGTCTACATTTGAGTGTAAACTATGCACATCTATATGAGTGAAAGGTGCTGAAAAGTTCTTAGCAAAACATCCTTTCCAAAATTTAACCAAAGGACCAAACATCATTAATTACACCATATTCAGGCTAAAAGCACCCAGTATTCCTGTGTTCACACATCTAGGTAGTGATCAGGCTCAATATTGGTTAACTTCAGTAAAAAGAAGGCCTGGAAAAATTGATACTCACAAGATATATTGAAGTCAGAAGAGACAGAGGGAAATAGGCAATAAACTACCAAAGCAGTTTGTTGAAATGGATGACAGAACGGGGATTGGGAGGTATAGGAAAAAAAACAAATCTTATTCAGAGCTATAAACAACAGGGTGTTGTGGAGAGCCATCATCACATATTTCCTGAAGGGACACAGCACATAGAAGAAAATTGTACTTATAAAATATCAAAAGCTGAAAATATCATTGTCATGTTTTTAATGGAATGATTTAGTAATTAGAACTGCATATTTTTTAATTTTTGCTTCAAGATGTAACTTGTTTATGCAAACACACATAAACACAGATATTTGGATGCATAATTAGATTGGTAGATTGTACATACACACACATGTAAATGATTTTTTTGTCTGAATTATTTGATGGTTTAGTGGAAAGAACAAGCCTCTTTGCAAGGATGATTTAACTAGAAAGACTAGAGAGTAAATATCAATTAAATTAATGAGATTTCCTTTAGTATAGAGGCAAATGGAGAATAATCTCCTCTGTGGATTGAATAAAGGGTTTCATCTGAAATTCCTGACGGTAACAGACAAGTGAAGAAAACTGTATGGCACAAGAGCTGAAACATTTTAACAACTAAGATACAGGCACTAATAAAATCAATCTTATATGTGCCATGTCCCTGCATGAAATAGACAAGCATGTCTATCCACAAGTCTTATTATTTGTAGCACTTAGTAAGGTTTCTCATTTCACCAAAACTCTAAATACTGGTCCTATCACCCATTTCCTCAAAACCATTAGAATCGATATTCTCTGTTTTCTTCTATCATTCTTGCCTTCAATATCTCCTATGATGTCTCTGTTATCTCCCTTCTTCTAGTCTTCAATATGATCTGTGATATCCTCATTCTCTCTGTCCTTCTAGACTTCAATATGACCTGTGATATCCCTATTCTCTGTTCTTGCCTTTAATATCTTCAGTGATGTCCCTATTCTCTCTGTTCTTCTTGCCTTTAATATCTTCAGTGATGTCCCTATTCTCTCTGTTCTTCTTGCCTTTAATATCTTCAGTGATGTCCCTATTCTCTCTGTTCTTCTAGCCAAATTCTCCAGACCCCTTTTTCTCATTACATGATCTAGATATTTCAATTGTCTTATTCTGAACTTAAGTAGAATCATGATTTTTGTTTCTTTATTCTTCAAAACTTCTTTGTTGAACCCATGTTATGTCCAGGTTATTCTCACCATCCTTCTGTAGAACTACATCTTTGTTGCCTCAAGTCTCCTCTTCATCTGTGAGGAAATTGTCCAGTATTCACTGCCATATAGGAGGACTCATATTACTTGAAATTTCTGCATTGTTTTCTTTGTTTCTAATGAAAAGTAATCACTTTATGTCGAAGTAAATCTCTTTATAATAAATCACTATGGAATGATTTGATCAAGTACACAAACTGAAGCAACCATTTATACTCACCTAATCCGAAAATAGAAATAAAATTACTCAAATATGCATGTATCATTTTACAAATTTGTGAGATTAGAGATTTTCTTTTATAAACACTGAGAAGCAGAAATGTTGAAAATCAATGTTGATATAGAATTGTTAAGAGATTTCCTCTGAGATCTTCCTAAGAGTAACCTTGTGTCAGACTAACGAAGCCTAATGTAACACTATTTATCACCAATCACTAATTAATGACTATTTATTAATATTTAATACTAATACTTAATAATCACTTTTTATAAAAAGTCTTTTAATGTCAACATTGAATTCACAAAAATTTACTTCAAGTTAAATGACTAAATTTAAAATTTTGTAATATAAAATTTATCATCAGAGATCAATGTTTTTCCAAGAGTGCAATCCAAATCCAATACGTATTGTTTTTTTTTATGTTTGACCTCTATAATTGTTTGAAATGAATGTCTACTTTTAGTTAAAAGGATGGACTCGCCCACTACTCGTCTCTGGGAAAAAAAAAAGGACAGAGATCTGTGTCAGTTGAGGGGAAAGTGTGTGTGTGACACAAACAAATACATTGAAACCAAGTGACAGGGAAATTCTGTTGTTGTATTAAAGGGACCCTTCCCTGGCCTACATTACCATCCCCCATTCAATCACCACTGCTGGGAAATAAAGATCCACCCCAACCACTGAGCTAGTCATTTCCCTCTTTACTAACTTCCAACCCACAGTTTCCAATCTGAACTCTCTTCTCAATTGTTACCTTCCTTCTGCCAACTTCACTTTTGATTTCAGTTAGAGACACAGATGCATGCATTGAGGCATCTCTGGGTGGGTCGTGCATGCATGAGTAATTGTGGGTCTGAGTGGATACAGACAAAAATTATATCTCTGTGTATGTGTCTGTGAGTGTGTATGTGTGTGTGTACATGTGTTTGCATGGTTATTTACTTTTATAGTACATATTTTATGCAAACACGCCTAAGCAAATATATTAATAAGTATTTATATATGTGCTTATGAGAGTGTATGCATTTAATTACATCTATATATCTATCTATTTATCTATTCTTTTTTCTCTTTTTGTTGGGTTTTCTAATGGCATTTTTATTTATTGGTTCTTAGTCTTTATGCCTTTTTTTTTATACTTAGCAGACTTTGTGCTGGTGGAGTTACAATTGCAGCTTTTACCAATACTTTGGTTTGTATATATATATATATATATATATATATATATATATATATATATATATATATATATATATATATATATATATATATATATATATGAGAACATTAGAACAAATCCTACTAGGCAGACACACATACACTATTACAAATACATTACCATCTGATACCTGCTTAGACATACAAGAATCTTACAAACTTACATATATAGAAATTATCTATGATTTTAATGCACATGATACATGACTGTCCAACAAAGTGACCCAAACAAAACTAAAAATACTAAAGTTTCTGTCTTTTTGCCTGTTTTCTTTCAATTTCTGTTAGATTGATAAATGCTTTCTTTTTTTGTTTTTTATCTTATCTCCATATATGGGCATTTCTCTGTGTGTGTGTGTGTGTGTGTGTGTGTGTGTGTGTGTGTGTGTGTGTGTGTGTGTGTGTGTGTGTGTGTGTGTGTGTAATAAATTTCAGATATAACTACAATATATCTGTAAAGACAAAAGGAAAACTTATCTTAGCCAACACATTTCATCATCTGACAGACTTTCTCAAAGCAAATGAAATGCATTGGCTAAGATAAGATTTTCCTTTCACCCAATTATATATATGTATATATATATATATATATATATATATATATAGAGAGAGAGAGAGAGAAAGAGAGATAGATAGATATTGTGTATTTGGGCAGCATTCCCTCTTTTTATACAAGTTTCATTACAAATGACTGACAAGGAACTGTGGTTAAGTTTTTATTTAATTTTTCTTGTGCTCATATAATTTTTTTAATTCATGGATATAAATTATGTAGAAATTGTTTGAATGTTTTTCTGTCTGAAAGCTTTCAGCTGTTCTTTTAGCAATTATCAAAGATGACTTTATCTTTACTTTTAACTGAATTTTTTAAAAATCTGTACATTCAATGCAAAAGTAATGCAAAAATATTTAAGCAAAGTCAATAAATTTGATCTGAAATAAAGTTCTCAAACTCCTTCTTTTATTTGTCCTGGGTATGATGATGAACTACATCCAGCTGCAAGACCTCTGATTAAGAAGTTAGAGGTTTTGTGGAGTGTGGAACTACATCTAAATTGCTTTTATTCACAGTAACACCTGTTAGGGTAAATACAGACAAATAGTGACCCCTCCGCAAATAAAACTAAAAACACTAAAAAGTATAAAAATATATTTTCATAGTAAAATACCAGCAATACATTTTTAAAAAAAAATTACCAATACATTTTTGTAGTGAAAGTACCAGCAATACATTTTTATTAAAATAAATTACCAACAATACATTTTTATAGTAAAATGACCAACAATACATTTTTATATTAAAATTGAAGACGTGGCATATATTTTCAAAAATACTTGATTAATGCTCAGTGATTAATCTCACGTCTTATAAGGAGATACATGTTTTGATTTTTTTTAAGATTATTTGGTAAAAAATGCAACCGAGTAATTAGAATTTAATCATGAAATAATGTTATAATTCAAGATTTAATTATAAAGTTTGAATTTTCATATTTAGATTTTGACATTAAATGACCCATAGATGTGTTAATATACCACTAAACAAAAATAACCAATCCAACCAATTGTTTCTTCATACAGTAGACATGTTCTTGACATTAAAATATGATTCTTGGTGTCCGTCTAAATTCATTTAAATGTAGAAATGTCTCTACATTATCACTGATGTATTTTCTATGTTTATTGCAGACTTCTCGGAAATTTTCAAGAACCAATGTCGTAAACAATTTACCTGGACATTTGCTTCCTTCCCATCTCTAAAATTATCCAAATGCTCTTCAAATATATGTTTGAATGAAACACAAACTCGTTGGAATCACCAGCTTTCCATTTCCACAGATGACAAGATTAAAACATTTTTGGGCTTCCCTCCAAACTTTTACAAATTTATAAATATTCTTGTTTCTTTTTTACCATTTTGCATTATTTTTTCACTTACCAATGTTTTTTTGTCTTCTGTGTTTTTTTTTTATAATTGGTCATTTTTCACAGTTATCTGCTACCATCGTCTTCTCCTCAATCCTCTCTCGCTCTGTCTCCTTCTCATTCAATTTATTCTCTATATATCTATGTTGAAAAGTTCTCAGCCCAAGCAAGAAGGGGTTACAGGAAAAAAAATATGATGTTTAAGCCTTTGATCTTCTTCTTCTTCTATATGCCATCTTGTTTCAGGACATTGGCAATCATTGCTCTCCACAATTTCCTGCAATTTGTAGCTCTTAGTAAATTTTGTATTTTCACTGTCTCTCCTAATCACTATTCTGCCAACCATTTACACAGCTCGTTAGACAAATTCTGTGCTGCTTTCCTCTGTCTTACTTTCGATTTGGCCCACTCAGTAACAGATTTTCTAAGCCTTCTTTTCTCATTTAGTGACCTAGAAATGTCTACTGTCTTTCTCTGATGTTAAATATAAGTGTACTTTTGGTTTCCATTTTCTCTAAGACTTTGTCATTGCTCACAGATTTTGATAAATGAACTGGGCTGAGAACTTTTCAATAGGACTTCATACTTTTCTATCTATCTATCTATCTATCTATCTATCTATCTGAATCTGTTCATATCAATCTATAGCACTTTATTCATATCTATCAATCTGTCTATCTGAATCTATTCATATCAATTTATATCACTTTATTTATATCTATCTGAACCTGTTTATATCTATCTATATCAATCTGTCTATATCACTCTATTCATATCTATTTATCACTCTCTCTCTCTCTTTCTCTATCTATCTGAGTCTATTCATATCTATCCATATCACTCTATTCATATCTATCTATCATTCTATTTGAATATCTATCTATATCTCTCTATTCATATCTATCAATCTGAATTGGATTATATATATCTATATCACTCTATCTATATGTCTTTCCCATCTATCTATCTCAGTTTTATCATAACTATCAATATACTTATGAAATCTTACCATTTTTTATCTGAATCAGACTATTCATCTTCCTCAATAAGTCTATGACTATATGAATATATGTGTGTGTGTGAGTGTGTGTGTGTGTGTGTGTGTGTGTGTGTGTGTGTGTGTGCATAGTATATGTATATATTTTTAAAATCTTTTTATTAAGGCTTGCTTGATATTTTTGTGTGTCAATGTAATTATTCAATATTTTAATTATCAAAACAGGACAAAGTGGTCAAAAATACTTTTCTTTAATTTTTTATTTATTTCCAATATTCATAATATTTTTATATAATTTTAGCAAAATATTTCATGTTGAATAATAACCTCATTAAGGGGTCTGATGTCATCATCATTGATATTTGAATGTCATGGTCACTTACATTTCTACAAAGTTTAAACATGCACATAAATGACAAAGGTTAAACATAAAAATAATTTTTCCTTTTTAATTAAATCTTGATTAACTACAAGTAAATCAGAAGGACACTTAAATTTAACATCAGAAAAAGACAGCTACAATTTCTAGGGCACATTACAAGGAAAGAAGGTTTGGAAAATTTGTTACACACAGGAGATGTTTAAGGCAAGAAGTACAGAGAAAAACAATGTGTAATGTACCTAAAGAGCTTGTGGTTCAGCCGTTATCTTCCCTACATATTTGCATAAACTGTGCCTTTTACTCTGTAACCCTCTATCTTGAGTTGCTTTCTGGCCTTATACAGGGTGAACATTATTGTAAAAAAAAATTTTTTTAAATTTATTAAGAGCTACAAAGGACAAAATGTGAGGAACTATGATTGCCAACATCCTGAAAGGACACGGGCACTTTGAAGAATAATGAGCTTTAATAAATAGATGGTGTAACAAGGTTATAGGGAGATAATAAAAAGGCAACATTTATCAAGAGGTACAAAGAAGAGGAAATTGTGGAGAGCCATGATTGTCAACTTCCTGAAGGAACACAACACATAGAAGAAGAAAAATGTGCTTGAGTAAATGGATAGCAGAATAACTTTTAGGGGAGATAACAAAAAAGAAAAATTTATTCAAAGCTATAAAGGAAAGAAAATTATGGAGAGCCATGCTCATCAATGTTCTGAAGGAACACAGCACATGAGCTTCAGTAAATGTATTGCCGAACAAGTTTATGGGGAGATAACACAGACAACATTTATTAAGAGCTAAAAAAATTGTGGAGAGCCATGATCGCCAACGTCCTAAAGGGACAAGGCACATAGAAGAAGAATGAGCATCAGTAAATGGAGGGTAAAACAGGGTTTACGAGATTAACAAAAAGACATAATTTATTAAGATCTTGATATAGGCACCTGCTCCCATCTGAGCATCAGGATAATCATCCTCTTTCCCGAGTCCTTTTCTCTCACCACAATAATGGTGGTGGTAGATATGGCTATGAAGTTAATGTTGGCCTGTGTCCGGGATGTTTCAACTGATCCTTGGAGTGTAGTTTTGGGCCTCCACATAGCCTCCAGTAGCTAGTGACTTCTCCAAACAGGATGAGTCAAGTGGGACACATTCTGAACACATGTCCTGCCCAGTGGAGATAATGTTGAAGGATGGTAGCCTCAATGCTGGAGAGAGATACTTTAGATTGGATCTTATTGTTGGTGATGCAGACCTCACAACTAATGTGAAGGGTTCTTTGGGGCTTCATTTTGCTGAAACTATTCAAGACATTTGATGTCCCAATTATACAAAGTCCAGGCCTCGCAAGCATACAGAAGGATGGAAAGGACAAGATCTACAAAGACAGAAAATTGAGGAGAGCCATAATCACCAACATTCTGGAAGAACATGGCACATAGAAAAAGAAGATTTCACTTAATCCTATATAGATAGTTCTGTGAGGAGAAACAGGAATAAAGACTGAAATATTAATAAAATTAACCAACTTGTTTACCAAATATTGATTATATCCAAAAATATTTTTTGATCTTTGATTTTAAATATATATGATTAGATTTCATCTTGTGTACAAATGAGAATGAGCCACATCAAAATAAAAACAGATTACTGCTGCCATATCTGGACTGGAACTGCCAAGTTCTCATGTTCCAGTCTTCAAAAGCACTGCCTTGTGAATGATGAATTATTTTCCACTCAACAACCCCTTTCCGACAGATGAAACATCACAAGGCTCTTGCTACTTTGTCACTATTGACAAATGTTCTAAACTATTAATTTGTGTCATAAATAATATCTGTTTTTGTTTATCAATTTTCTTCTTCAAAAAATAAAAGTGCAATTACATTTTATTCAGTTATATGTTCACCATTATTTGCAATGTCCTGTTGCCCTTCCATACAGCTTTTCCATACCTTTTGAGTAAAATTCCACAGGTTTTGATCAGGAAAAACTTTCAACAGACTCATTTGTGCAAGTTCAGGTGAATATGACTATAAATATAATAAGAATAAGAATAGATTTCCACAATAAGAGTAGATAGGCAAACCTATCTACTCCTCTGGTGGGAAAATAAATAAATAAATAATAAACGTAATTTCAGAGTTTAGGAGGAGATGTTAGAAGTACAGAGTTGAAGTAGACTTGAGAAGGAAGTGGAAACCTAATCCTAAACCAGAAACAAGGGATAAACCTCTACTCCTGTTCAAAAGACTGAGTTTTTATGCAAAAATGTTTTCTCTTGTCCACATGTCATGCAGCAATAAAATAAAGATAACAATTGGTTGGTAAAAATTCAAGTGAATCTGGTGGTGGGTTGGGGTCGAAGTGACCAAATGACTTCCAGAATTCTTTCCTGTGTTCTTCTTGCTACATGTGACCTTGTATGGTCGGTGGTTTGATAACAGTTTTTTCTCTTTTATTCCACTGTGCAAGAACTAGGATATGTTAGGGTACTAAAAATTTATTCTTAACTGTCATTGTTTGATTAGTAGTTAAGAAGATATATTTGTCCTTAAAAACAAAAATTACTTATGACTATATATAAAGATTGGAGCACCTTTATCAAAAAAAAAAAAAGAATTATGCCAAGTTATCTCATATAAAATAAAACTTTCAAGGTTGCTGTCAGTTCTGAGGCTCTAAGCTCATCTACGGAAATTCATTCTTGCTATACATGTTTATACTTACTGCTGCTTAGATTTTTAAAATTAGCAAATAATAAGTTCATCCAAAATGATTGAAAAAATTTGCTCATGATAAACAGGAGCAATTACAGACTTCTTCATCTATGTGGCATGTCTCTTCCAGATTTGAACGATCATGGCCCTCCACAACTTCCTATCTTTAGTAAGGTTTGTCTTTTCTCCACTCCTCCAATCCCTGCTCTGTTGTCTATTTACACAAGCTAATCCAGAAGGTTAGATGTTTGTTTCTGTTCCACTGACCTTCAATATGTTCTATAGAGTGTCAAATTCTCTAAGCCTTCTTTTCTCATTATGGGCCATAGACATTTCAACTATCTCTTTCTGATTCTAAAAAACATTGAATAATTTTAACAGATTCAACATTATAAATAAAAAATAGTGAATTTTATATATGTTTTTTTTTCAAGAGTTAGCAAGAGCACGACAACTTCATGGATTTGAATAAAAAAACAAAACAACCCAAAAATGACATCAAAATCCACAAAAATGTTTCATTCTTTAATAGTCAATTGTGCTTCGTTTAATTTGTAATGTATATAAATGTAGGTAGAAATAAATAAATATTGATAAGATAAAGATAGCACAGGTCAGAAAGCACGGACTTTTTCTAATTAGTCTTGGGGTTTCGAGGGTAGCCCTGCCCTGGGTGAGAAATACATTGCTCTTTTAGACATGAAAAATATATCTAGTACATACATGTACATATAAAAGACAGTATTACATATAAATAATTTCACCTCAAACAATTTTTTTATAAAAGGTTAAAATAAACCTATAAAGACTGTATTATTTCTAATGTAACATTATAAAATCAAAATGGATATTATTGGATATTATTGGATATTCTTATTAACAAACTTTATAGAATTGAAATAGTATTATTACCAAACTCTATAAAACTGGAATAATATCCTCATTACAAAAATTTATAGAACTGAAGCAGTATTATTATTAACAAACTCTATAGAATTGAAATTTTTCATTAAAATTATAAAAACATAACAGCCCAACTGCAAGTAAATGTCCATGAAAGAAATTCATTTCCTTTGATATTGAAAGTATATTTTCAAACCAAATTTATTCTCTTGTGATGGATTTAAGTACATTTGAATATAAGTTAAGTATGTATTGTTGCTTCACATGGAAAAGTACTCTCTTCTGATTTTCAGGAATATATGATTTATTTGCACTGATCTTTCAGACTGATAATGGGTGCAAACATACTGCTGAGATGACGATGGAATTTCAGAACAAGTATAAAGTAGAAATACTCAATCGCTCTCCCATTCTCTATTTCATTGGATGTAAATCCATTTGACCTCTTATGGAATATATTTGAAAAATGATGAGCAAGAATGAGACAACATTAAATGCTTGCATACTGTAGGCAAGGGAAAAACATATAGTGACTACTTTTAAAAATCTAGTGAGGTCAATGTCATCCGGATTACAAACAGTGATAGAAAATAAAGGGGGCCACACCAAATGTTGATTTTTCAATAACATCTTTCATAGCAAGTTTACTTATTTTTGGTAATAAATACTATTTGATAATATCCATTTTGATGGTATAATGTTTTACAAACAATTAAACTTAAGTATGTTTGGTTTAGAAAAAAATTAACTTTGTATAAACAAAAATCAATTAGGGTATAATTATTTATGGGGGGTGGGATTAAATATGATAACCAGCCATACAACTGTGGGCTTATTGATGTTTGTGGTTGTTATATATTTACACTGGTGTCAGGGGTTAAGGTATCTGTGTTGAAATAAAAATAAAAAAATTTAAATACTGATTTTTAGTATGAGTATCTCCTTTCTGAATATGTATGTGGTGTAATGGTTAACACTATGATGAAATGGCAAGGTGAGCTTAAAGGCAGTTTGTGCTCACTATATACTATAGCTCTTGAGCAAGGTAGGAATCTGTTTAAATAATAGGGTAGACTGGGCTCTCTAGCTAGTCATAGGGGACTGAACTATCTCTGAACCATCTCTGAATTCAAGACTATGAAGAAGACAACAGGAAACAATCCACTATCTTATCCATGAGTAAAGTACATTTTACAGATATTAAAGAAAAGAACATTGTGGAGGGCTATGATCGCCTTCTTCCTGAAGGGATATGGCACTTTTAAAGAAAAAAGGAAGATACCATTTCCACCTCTAAGATTGATGCGACATAATCTTACTAGTTTACCTTTCTTTTTCATTGTTTCTCAGTGTGACTAAGCTTCTGAAATATAAGCTGCCAAACACACAGGCAGATTTTAGTATATGCACACACGTAAACACGGAGACACTTTTATTGATCAGCTGAGTAGTAGTTAAAGTAGTAGCTGGCAGCAGTTTAAGGCTTTTACATTTCTCTCTCTTCTTCCTTCTTTCTTTCTTTCTTTCTTTCTCTTTCCCTTTCCCTTTCCCTTTCCCCACTCTCTCTCATAGCCACCCCACTTTTTTTTACTTCATTCCTTATTTCTCTTTTCTCTTCATCAATCTCTCTCTTTCTCATAATCATCTTTCCTTCCTTCTTTCCTTCTCTTTCCATTTTTTCAATCTTTCTCTCACTCACTCATAACCATCTCTCTTTTCTTCCTTCCTTCTCTTTCCTTCCTCAATCTCCCTCTCAAACCATCTTTCTTTCCTTCCTTCTCTTTCCTTTTCTTTAATTTCTCAATCTTTCTTTCTCATAGCTATATTTCCTTCCTTCCTTCCTTCCTTCCTTCCTTCCTTCCTTCCCTTTCCTTTCCTTTGCCTCAATCCCTCTCATATCCATCTCTCTTTTCTTTCTTCCATCGTTCTTTCTCTTTCCTTTTCCCCAATTTCTCTCTCTCTCTCTCTCTCATAGCCATCTCCTTGTCTCTGAGTGTAAACAACAGAAAGAGTGGTTATGATTATAAGAGAGAGGGCAAGAAGAGAGAAAGGGATGAAAAGAAGAGAGAAAGAAAATAACTACATGAGAGTGTCAGAGTAAATAAGAGGAGATGTTGACAAGAGAGTGAAAGAGATTTCTCTTTTTCTCACACTTACTCTCTTCCTCCCCCTTATAGTCATTTCCTTTATCTTTCTCTCTCTTGTAATCAATTCTTTCTATTTTTCTACTTCTCTATTTCACTCTCTTGTAACCATCACTCTCTCTTTAATTATATTCTTTCCTCTCCCTTTTAATTATCTTCCCCTCTCTCTCTTTTATCACATTAGCTTTCTTTTTCCACACTCTCTTCATATCACCATCTCTATTTCTTTTCCTCTTGCTCTTGTAATTCTGTTACATTCTGCTCATGTAGTTAACCCCCTCACTTCCTCTATTTCTTTCTCTTCTTCTTTCCATCTCTGACACTTTGTTATAGTTAGCATCTACCTCTCTTTCTACCATTTATC